ATATGTACGTCGTTTCTTCTCTACACATGTTCTGAGAGAAGATAAAATTATTTACTTAAATTATGAACTTTTCTGTAAAAAGAAAGATTTTGAAAACATTAAGTATTGATTATTATTTTTTATTTCATCTATGGTTGATAGTACGAAATATAAACTACAATAGAATAAACTTTTTATGTGTTCGTTAAATTTTTTCAAATGTAGTGAATATAAAGCGTTGGTTAATTTCAAATAAATTCAATAATGCTGTTTGTTGTTACATTTTGGTGATGAAGAAGATAAGAATAACATGAAGGCTTTTAATGCCAGCGACTTGTCACATAAAGCGCGATGTATATAAAAAATTGGTGGTGGGTAATGTAACAATGTTTTACAAAGATTACGGGTATAAATATGAAAGTATGTCTTCTTTTTGTGGGGATCACCGTCTACAATTTATTAATTTTTTCTTTGATTGCTAAAAGCAGGAAAATTTGGTGAAATGTTGCCATAACATGATACTGAAGATGGAATATCAGCATTGTATATGGATTCGTCTTGTGAACTCCACTATTACATGTATGATACCCTTTTCTCTCTCCAAAGTACGAATAAAAAGCCTAGGTGCATTAAAACCGAACACGATTGTGCTGTGGAGTCCTGTATGGTTACTTGATCACAATTGCGATACCGCAAGTTCATGCTCGCAGTCGGACTCTTGTTTGAAACGCTCGAATATAATTTCCGGTTCGACTTTTCGCCAAGTTTTTCGCAAGAAACATTCATCAAGTACAAAAGAAGTTGAAATATAGCAAAAAGGAAAAAATCTTGAGCATATGAAAAGGATAGTAGTTGTTGCTAGAGAGAAGAAAAAATTCAGGACTAGGACTGAATGTTGACCACGTAGCACTTCATCTCACTGACGGACTTAGTAAATTGGAAAACGATTATGAAAATAATAATTTGTTTTTCCATGATACTTTTAAGTTACGTTTATCTAGCAAAGTTTAACAACACGAAATGTAAACTACAAAGATGGAAACTTTTTAAGCATTAAATCTTCATTTACCGATATTATAACTTACCACTATTAGGGAGATATTCAGTTCTTCCAAAATGCCTTTTCTATCCTTATCATTTGATAAGAGACCGACTACGTACACTTACTTATAATAACTACAGGAGCACAAAATTCATCTCATTTCGATATAATATCAAACATAATTTGTCCTTGAACTTATTAAAACAAAAAATCAAGAAGTGCTCTGTTAGATTATGTGGAATGATACAAAGGTTATTTGTTAAAGTCCGATTTATTTGCAGAAACACACATTTTACTAGAAGAGTTAGAGAGTATAAGCTCTACGCTCGTGAACCTTCTTGTATCAGGATCTTAATAGTTTTTACTTTACCGTGTTTTGTTACATTTCTATTTACATAGAAGTGCAAAAATTTTCATTGTTAGAATAATCTTACAAGTTCTTTTTGAATAGCGTTTTGTCTGGAAGAGCTTTGACGATATATACTCGTTTTGACAAACTTACTGTTAACATCTTTAAACAGTCCATTTTTCCCGGAAAACCCCCCAGGGAGTTCTAAGGGACTTTCTACGGAACCCCTAGGAATTTTCAAGGGAATCACTATAAAAATTCACTATTCTAGTCCACTTTTCCTGGAGTTCAACGAGACGCATACAAGAACATTTCAAGCCTTCTCTTGATGTCATATTCGTTGCCAAAATGAAAAGAGTGTTTAGTTTTGATCAATTGATCAATGAATTTTAGCCCATAAAAATGGAACTGTCACATCAGAGAGCAAAAGCAAGTTTCTATACGTGTGATGTGCTCTTATCTACAAAAAAAAATGAGAATAAACAAAAGATTCATTTTAAGCAATTTGTTCTTTGCTTATGTAATGTGTACCTGTACAATAAGAGATTAAAGAACAAGAGATCTGATTGTTTTAAGATGAATTTTCTTCGAACAGCCGCCACAGCTTATTCAAACGTTGTGATAGATCCAAATTGGCCAGAATATGAAATTCTTGAGTCTAATAAAGTAAGAAAACACGAAATAATTTAGCGTTACATTTAAATAAAATATCTTTTTAGGAATATGAAAAGCGAAAATATCCACCGTCATTTTGTGTTGCCACTCAATTTGTAGCTAAAAGTGGTGATGAGCCCGTAATGTCATATTTATGGAAATTGGTTAAATACACACAAAAAGGAAATTCTGACGGTGAGGAATCATCATTCTTTAAAACTATTTATCTACTTAGTCCTGAGTTTTCGCATAATATATTTTTTAATATTTTATAGTAAAAATGTTAAAAATTTATCTTCCAATAATGGTTAAAGTAAAACGGAAATCTGAGATAGAAAACAACTTTACTTTAATGTTGATATTAGATAAAGAAAATCAAATCAATCCTCCGAAGCCAACTGTTGAAGATGTCTTTATATTGAATCAACCTGAACGTATTGTTTATGCAAAGTATGTACAAGAACAACAACAGTGACTTGAGAGAAAAATGTTGTATTACTTTTTAAGAAGATTTGGTGGGTTCGCCAAGGAGGCCGACTGGAAACGTGAAAGTGCAGATTTGATGAAAAAACTTCATTTATTGCCGATCAATCAAGAAGAAATTTTATCTGCCACATATGACTTACCAACAAAATTAATGAATCGTCATAATGAAGTGATGTTTATGGCATTAGATGACAATGATAAAATGTGCAATGAAACTACAGTATCGAATAACAGAACGGATGACGAACAGTAATTGAAAAAAACTACGCCGTACATTTTTCATTTCTTATCATGTTCACTATACCTACGTGCTTTCCATATTTATCTTTTTTATAATTTAAATTACTCAACATTTTTCTTCCATTTCTTTTTGTTGGTATGTGTGCTAGTCAGCTCAACGGTTTTCTGCTTTGTTGTTCCTTTTGATAGTGCAATTTCTACACATGAGCTTTGTTTTGTTAAATTTTTTTCATATGTTTTGTGTGAGAGTAAAAAATAAATATTTATATCTATCTTTGATTACATCCAGTCTAGTTGCAACTTGTTGTTCCTGACATGATGGCTTTTAGCAGCGGTTTGCTCATATTTCCTTAGATAAACTTTATTAGAAAAATAAGTTAGATACACCTCTCCTCAGATTAGTCGTCCACCCTATAGGAGACCAGTCAGGAAGGGATTTTTTTCAAAATCGTTCTACATAG